AAAACACAAAGCGAAAAGTTAAGGAGAGAGACCTCTACCAGAGGAACCTTCTATCTTTGTTGATAGGCAGTGATCATCAACACAAACAAACAACAATACTCTCTATACATAGATCATGCGGAGCGGTTTCAAAACTTCTTTCTCAGTATTCGCCGCCGAAACTGGAATTGATGTGCTGTTCTCCATGTACCTCAGATTTGTCGGCAAATCTATAGCCTTTGAGTTATATGGCTTTGGAGAAAAGAAACATAGATTAATCTCTGAGGAGGTAAAAAGCATCAACAGCACATGGCTATGTAATAGGGATAAATCTATGGATATTCTGATTGTTGGCATGGTTTATACGCTACTATTTATCTCAAAACCCATGTGATTGCACATATGTTGAGAATATTTGATGGATAAAGTCATGATTTGTTCATGCTTGTGCCTGCGAGCTAGCTGCTGAGTATCATCAAACTTCCCATATTACTGTGGCAACTCTTCTACTTGACAGTGATTGGATACTGGCAACGGGAGTGACACATCAGCCATCAAAATTTTGTGACATTTATACTTTGGCTTTTTAAAAAATGAAGACATTCAGTTTGGAACTACTTTTATTTGTTTGACACTGATGTATTTATTCCAACTTAGATTGATTTTTGCATATCTAATCCGAAATAATTGTTGAAGTTTTATATTCAAGGCTCCCAAAAAAATTAATTTAGACTAAAAAAATTAAATCGAAACCGATCCAAAAATACATGTTCGGTTTTGATTTATGCAAAGTATCTATTGAGTATTTTTCTGAATCCGTAAGTCTCTATTCGGGTACCCAAAGTTTCTAAAACATTTAGTGTATATTAGGTATATTTGGTTATTTCAGATATGTTTTCGGTATGAAATATATTTCTTCAGTTTGGATTTTACGTTACAGTTTTAAATTTCAGATAAATTTCCATTTTTCTAAATATATTTTAAGTATTCAAATAAACATATAAATAATCCCTATAAATAAAAATGATTATAAGAGAATTATATCAAGAGTAAAATTTTTTATATCAAATCACTACAGTGAAACCTCTATAAGTTAATAATGCTGGGATTATACCAAAATTATATTTTTTTAATTAATTTAGAGAGATATTAATTTATCGATATACTAATCAAACCAAAAACTCAACTTGGAACTATAAAATGATATTATTTTATAGAGATATTTAGTATATTAATTTATAGAGGTTCTACTGTATATGGTTTGTCGATTTTTTGAACAAAATATAAGAATCTATCAAGGTATTAAATTATTAGTAGGATATATTAATTTGGTTATGGGAAAATAATATTTTTTTAATTGCTACTAATATGGCTATCTATTCTAATGTTATAGGGTTAAGGAATAAAGGCAAGACTAAAAATATTAATGAATAGGTGCAACAATATTTTATAAATAGATTTTTTTATAATGATTATAATTTAATAGTATACATATTATTAAGTCTTTTAGTTCAAGCTTTTTGTTAATAAAATTACTAAAATGACATTATACTTCTTTTTATACTTATATATATGTTTCTAAACAATACTATATTCTTTTTTTTATCATACTATCAACGTTTTCAAAAATAATTTCATTTATATTTTAGTTTTAATAATATAGATGTTAAATAACACATATCATATTAAACACTAGAAGATGAATAAAAAGAAATAAATAAAAAAATTTACTAATGAAGATAAAAATAAAATACATCCACAATTAGCTTATTACCTGAAATGACGTGCAAAATATATATTAAATATATTGATATTTGTCTAATCCCGGGCGTAGCCCGGGTAAAATCTCTAGTAATACTAATATCCCCTGAAAAAACCGCTAAAAGTAGTTATTTATTTTATATAATTTATAATTAAGTCAAAACAAGTTACAAGTCCATGCTACTAGAGAATGGACTCAGTGTTCTTCTCATCTCGGACCCCTCTGTATCCTACGCATCTTCTGCTATGACTGTAAAGTATGGAAGCTTTCACGATCCTGTGGACATGATGAGTCTTGCTCACTTGATTGAGCATATGCTGTTCAATGGAACACATGAAAATCGCGGAGTGAATGAGGTTAGTTTTTGTTTTAAAAAGTTTGATTTTCTTTCCAGTTTATCCGTTTATTATCTATTAATGCTTTTGTTTCTTTTTTTTTTGCATCTGTTTTGTAGTTTCGAGAATTTGTTAATATGTATGGTGGCGAGGTTTATGCCTATACAGATATGGAGTACTCGGGATACTCTTTTGCGATTGATGAACCAGGGTTTGAAGTTGCTCTGAAAATGTCAATCCAAATCAGATCATGGAAAGTTAGGCTTGAGCATGTTGATTCTGGTCATAACATGGGACACCAAACGTCCTGGAGGTTAACATCTCTCTCTCTTTTCACTCACAGAACCATGCTTTTTCGAAAAGGTGTGTCATTGATACTAATTTATTAAAGAAGGGATCATTCTAAGTAAACTCATGTAGCTCATTTGTACTTATTAAAGAAGGCCAATTCAACTCCAATCATCAGATCACCTATGCATTGCGTGCTTTATGGATTAACCCAACTTTAATAAATACTTTAGTAAATCTAACCTTCTTTAATAAACTCATGTAGATCATTCTAAGGGTTAAGTACTTTATGGATTGAGAAGTCCTGCTACTGTTAGTAGATCATTTGTATATGTCCAGCTCATGTTTACTCAGTGCTTTTTATGATGTGTGTTTGCAGGTTCAGTATGATCATGATCATGGAAAGAAAGGCCTGAGCATGGCTTCTGGTAATAACATGGGACACCAAACGTCCTGGAGGTTAACAGGATCCTCTCTTTAGTCTCACAGAACCATGCTTTTTCCAAAAAGTAACCTTTAAATTATTCTTTGATCATTTTGAAGCATGCTTGATTCTTACAATACCATTACTATTCTTTTACACCTTAACTTATACACAACATATTACACTTCTGTCGTTTTTAAAACATACTTATTACACATGTTTAAATCCTCTAAATTTATTGGATGCACACATATGTACATTATAATACTCAAATCAATTATCAAATATGTAAAAAAAAATTTATATAAATATCTCATCCTTTGCACTGGTCTCATCCTAGTTTATAATTAAGTCAAAACAAAATAAAAGACAAATCGTCCGTCTCTCTCTCTCTCCTCTCTCTCTCACCCGAAGAACTCATGTAACTTACCTCACACGCTTTCGCTTAAAACACAAAAACCTTCACTTTCTCTCGCGTCTCTAATTCTCAAAAACAGAGTCTCTTTCCAAGAAAGTTCTTTTCTCAAATCCTCCATGGATTCTAAAGAAACCCGCAAACAGCAAGAACAACAACAGCAGCAGCAGAATCAGCAGCCTCCTGGGATGCTTACGGGTTTCTTCGATCTAAACGTCGCCGCGCTAGTAGATCCGACCTCCCCTTCTCAGGCCATGAACCAACAACGTTCATCTGCCAGGGATCTCTCGTTGCGTGAGCCTCAACAATCGCTCGGGCTCGACGGATCTCCTACCTCCTCCGTCGCTACGCAACAATCGTCGGTGCAAGTCGGGAACGAGCAACGAGTACGACGAGGAAGTATGCTTCGGCTTCTGAATCTGGTGCTAACTCATCTGCTAAACGAGGCAGAGGTCGTTTTCTAGGCTCTCGCAATAAGAAGAAGCTCGACGCTTTAGGTACAAAAGACTCCATCTTTCTTTCTTTTCTTGATACCCTTTTTGATCAAATCAAGAGTCTTACAGAAGGAGCAGAAAGTTTGCTTAAAGTTCATACCATTAACGTCAACCCTGGAGAGGTAACGTGTGTTCTGTAGCATGCATATCTTGAACCTTTAAACAAATATTTTATTTAAAGATCTTCCATAGGACATAGCTGCCAAGGTAGTGGCGTTTATGAGTCAAGAACCACGCGAGACCTGTATCATCTCAGCTTCAGGAGATATATCTTTTGCCCTGATTCAACTTACCAATCCTAAAGGACTTCTTAAGTGCGAGGTATTAACATTTCATCTACTTAATTATGCAGTCTTGGAATGTTTTTTCTTTTTTTTTTTATCTGATTGGGGTCTCTGCATGTGTGATCTGTATTTGCAGGGCCGATATATTATCGTTGCTATGTCAGGTTCTGTCTTGAATACTGAGAATAATGGTACTGTGACCAGAGATGGTAGCTTGAGAGTGTCTATTTCTGGTCGTAATGGCCGGGTGTTCGGGGGTATTGTTGCTGGAAGGCTAGTAGCTTTGTCACCAGTCCAGGTTACTCCATTTTCTCTAACCTTTTGAGTTACTTCACATTATCTTCAAGTTACTGACTTTGGTTAGGGTGGTTTATATATAGGTCGTTGTTGGAAGCTTTGTGAGAGGGAATGTTCAGAATAACCCCGAGCCAGCTTCAGCAACAGAAAGCCCTCAGTCTCGGTCTCAGGGACCTCCACGTTCAAGCGAGTCATCCAACAAAAATGGTAGTAAATCTCCGTTGCAACAATCCTAAATAAGCAAATGGGTTTTGCTTCTTTGCTCCTTTCCCACATCTCTACATCACATCAATTGTCCATAAGTAGATTGTTCTTTCTTAGTCTCTTTGTCTTCTTCTTCTTCATACTTCTCTTCTATGTAGCTTTGGGTTTAGATAAATACAAAAACAGAGACATGTTCAGTAGGTTTATTAGGGGGGGTTATTGGGGTAGGAATTTTAGAGTAGTTATTAAATTTTGAGATTCCATTGTTATTGGGGTGAGAACTTTTAATCTTCACTCAAAATCCTTTGTTATTGGAAAAGTTTAGTTTTCCTTGATTTTAAGATTCTATTTAAATCTATGTTATTGGGAATTAAATTTTCTTTGTTTGACTCATAAAACTCTACTTTGAGAATATCATATACAAGCATAAGATTTTTGAAATCTATGTAATAAAATACACTCGCATACAAAATTGAAAAATGAAATTATACAAATCATAACTTTAACACAATAAAAATCACAACTTAAAAACAGAGAATAAATATTAAAAAATTTAAAATTTAAAATAAAAAATTGAAAAATAGTTTTAAAAGGGTTTTTCGAGTTTAAAAGAAACAATTTGAAAAGAAAATTTTGAATTTTTTTATACGAAATTCAAATTTGACAGCATATATTTCGAAATTATAAAAATATATATTTTTATTATTATTTATATATCTATAAAATAAGGAGTATAATGATTTTTTTAGATATTTAATAAAATTATTTTTGGTCACTAATTTGTTTTTCCTTTCTCCTACCACCATTAATTACTTACTTTAAAAGTAATAACAATCAATAAAATTCTACACACAAATCATGAAATCTATGTAAACTATTTGATAAAATTTGTTAAATCTAGTTAACTTCTAAAATTTTCTAAACTATTAGAATCATCGAACTCCACAAAAATTCATGTTCCAATAACTCTCCCTTAGTTTCAGTAACTCTCCCTTAGTTTCTTTTGGTTGTGATGATCATAAAGATTAGTCTTTAGTACAAAATTCTTAATTCTGCAAACGCTTTTACAGAAGCCATTTTTATCATTACATCTTTTTTTTCCTATTCGTTGTCTTTACCTACATACTAGTTGTTTCCTGCACCATATGCACTGAGAAAAATTTTAAACTTAAATTATATTTAAAATAAATTTTATTTATATTATAGATTTTATTATTTTTACCAATATTTAAATGTAGATTTGATTTAATTAAACATAAAATTAAGATAAATTAATTTTGTTTATTAAAATTATATTTATATATTTAAACTTATAATTTTAGATAGATTTTTCTATCCATTTATATTACTTAAATATATTGAGTAAATGTGTATAAAATTAATAAAAGTGATATAAAATTGTATAATTATAAAAATTTAAACAAAACAGTATTTACAAAATTTATAGATGTGTAAGAAATTAATGACTTTATGAGTAAAAATTTATATTTTTAAAAAATTGTAGCAATTTTTGAAAATTTTAGTAATATAAAAAAATAAAATAGAATAATATTTCAAATTTTGTAATTTTATATCTGAATATATTTATTTTAAAGATGATGTATGAGTTATTATCATATGTTTAATTTTTTTACCATAAATAAATATTAACATTAAATGTAAAATATGTGTTATAACCATATTTTAAAAGTTTACCAAAAGTATAAATTAATATTAAATGTAATTGTCCTTGTCATATTTTGTCATCAATTTTAGTAGTCATGTCACATTTTTCTGTGAAACTGATTGTAGAGATGACATGTGGATATATAAAAAACTAATGGTTTTCGTTTAGAAATTTATATTTTTTTAAAATGGTAGCAATTTTTGAAAACTTTAGTAATAAAAATTATCTAACATAAAAAATAAAATAGAATAATATTTCAAAATTCGTAATATTATATTTGATTATATTTATTTTAAAAATGATGTATGAGTGATTATCATATTTTAAATTTTTGTACCATAAGTAAATATCAACATTAAATGTAAAGTAAGCGTTATTACTATATTTAAAAAGATTATCCAAAATATAAATCAATATTAAAGGTAATTATCCATGTCATATTTTACCATAAGCCATGTCATCAATTTTAGTAGTTAAGTCACATTTTATTTTGGCAAAATCACTTCGAAAATAATATATAGAGATTTATTGCTCTTCATAATGTAGCTTTAAGTTGTGTGATTGAAGAGTTGTCATTTTCCTCTAAATAAATTACTTGTTGCTCTTTTAATATTTTTTCATAGTGTACCATTACTCTTGGTTTTAGTAAACAATTTGGTCCATACAAAACAAAAAATAGCTATACTTTTCTTCATCTCATGTGACTTTACTTATTAAGAAAAAATTAAATAATTATTTTTAAAAAAAAATCTGAGAACCAACATTCATTAATAATCAAAAGTTCAACACACATGCAAAGTCTACACGCAGTATTAAACCCTTACAAACGGAGAGTAGTTTTTAGTCATAGGGATATTGTAACAAGTGTTTGACATGATAATATGGTGGCAAATTCACATACCCCATGCAGGGCCGGTCCAAGTCAAACGGAGGCCCTAGTCGAGATTAAAAATTATGTCCCCTTGGTTATTAATTACTCATAACAATAATACTGTTTTATATGATTATATATCCAAAAAAAACTATCATCTTTCTTTTAAAAAAATAATTAGAAACACAGTTTTGTTTTCAAAAACAGAATTTCATGCTAGCAAAAAAAAAACAGAATTTCAAAACAGAGTAAACATTTGAAGAAAAAAAGACTTAGTGAGCTTTAAAAAAAAACTGAAAGGGACGCAAAAGAATAGACAAGAATTACAATTTCTGAACTTAAGAAAATTGAAGCCTAGCCCAAAACATTTTTGGTCTAGCAGTGAAAATAAAAATATAACCCAAAAGTTTTTAATATGTAACCTACAAAAATTAAATTTTTAGCCCAAAACCATATGGGCCCTAAGCGGTCGCTTCCTTTGCTTCCCCTATGGGCCGGGCCTGACCCCATGGGTATTTATTGATTCCAGATCAGGAGATTCATTCTCATCTCCATAAAAAACTGAGCAGAAGAAATGATCTCTGCGTTTGAAAACCTGTTTCTTGCTTCATGCGATTCTTCAACCCAGTAATAAAATTAGTTAGAAGATGACAGTAACTGTTTCCGAGTTTCACTAGGAACAGACGGCGTACTTGAGCTTTCAGTTTCTGGTTATGAAGATTTTTGCTCAAAAATCCAATGTTTCAATCTGATCAAAGAGATAGAAAATGCAATTGAATAGACGCAAAATGAAAACAATTGAAAAAAACGAACATTGTTCTCATAAACTGCTCCCAGTTTTCTTGTGAATATGAACATAGTAGACGAAATTTTGGGATTTAATGAAGCCATATATAATGAATATATACCGTATTAGATCATTGTTGCAGCACTAATTTATTACTAGGTTAGTTTTTATCTTAATGTAATTACTAGATTTTGACCCGCGCTTGAGAAGCGCGGATTTTATTTTGATTGTAACAAATGTATCAAATAATTCTATTTTTATTATATGATAGTTTTATATGTGAAATTTGATGTATTTTTAACGTTTTAGTAGGATTTTTTCATTGAGTTTTGCATAACCGAGTCAATTTGTGGTTGAACAGAGAATCAAAAAATTAAGTATTGTGAGAGTATGAAGAATTAAAATACATATTACATTTTGACCCGTGCTTGGATGGGTCCATGGCCGACACACTGAAACACATATCAGATTTTGACCCGCGATACTTATGTTGAGTTGATCTTTATGATCCACCAACGGCAGACACACTGAAACGATCAATGTTCCTCCATACTCCAACACGAATATGTTTTGCCAATTCAGGAATGTATGTCTTGTTACACGAGGCATAGATCTTAGTTCCCTATATATATATAAAAAAAAGAAAACATTATCATTTAGGTTAAATTTTTACAAAATAAAGATATTTAAATCATAAATATATACAAAACGATAAACTTACATTTGCATCACAAATGATTAGTTTCATGGTCTCCCTTATGTCTTTCATGAAATGTCTCCATGTATGAAAGATTTTGATTTGGATTCGACATGTTGTCTTCCTCAGTTTTATATCGCTCAAGAAAGACAACTGCAAATTAGTTGCCATTTTTATTTTAGATTTTTCAAGAAATGATGAATATAGTGGTTAAGAAAGGCTATATTTATAATAGGTAGAGACGATATACATTTAGCTTACGCAATTGTAGGACAAAATATTTAGAGGATTTATTAAAATATTTCTTTCGAGGAATAAGGAATATTTCTTGAAGATATTTTGAATTAGTTAGGAAGTTTAAAGTTTAACATTTAATGGTAACTCCGGTAAGTTACCGAAATTTATGGAATCCAACCAAAGAATAACTAACCACGATATTGATTGTGGTTAATCTATAAACTTGTAAATGAAGCAATTTATTTATTTTAGTAGGAAGATAATTATAGAAAATAGTATTTTTAATATTTTCTTAACAAAACGTATCTCGTCCATTAAATGTCACCATTAAATGTCACCATGAGAATGATGATATATCGACATATAAAGAAAAACATGAAATGAAAGACATTTGGATAGATTCCTTATTCTCAAATGTCTTAAAATATGAAATGAAGGAAATTTGAATGAATTCTTTATTTTCCTTATATTTGAAATGGGTTTAAGGTATGAAATAAATGATAGAAGTAGTGAGATATTAAAAATAACGGTTGATATAGTATGCAAAACTCATGAAAATGTCGATATAGACAACATATTATATAATACATTAACAAATGTCTGCAATTATAACAAAATCTTAATATATGTAATATAAAGTGTAGTATGAGTTTATACCATATAGTCTTTGAAATATAAGGTGTAGTACAACTATGTTTTAAATCTTAATATATGAAATATAGCATCATATCATGGTTAGAGTCATATGAGTTTATAAAGTATAGTCTTTGAAATATAAGGTGTAATACAACTATATGAAAATATTAATATATGAAATATAGCATCATATCATCGAT